TATTTTTTTATATAAATAATTACACAATAATTACTTATGCTTTAACATTCAAGTGTGATGTCTCTTATCTTGTAATTCCTCCACCTTATGCCTCTGCCTTCTGATTATCTTCTAATGCATGCTTAAGGTTGCAGTCTACAACCGAAACACAGCTTAAAAATCACGCTGTTTGACCGCTGAACTACGTGAGATGGAGGTACCCATCCAGACAACTGAATAAAGCCTAGCTCGGTTCTAGTTGTATTTATAATAGTTTAACATATAAGTTTTAATTAATTTAATTATTAAATTTAATATTTAAATTGACAACCTTAGAGTTCTAGTGGTTTAGCACACCGCCTTACTTCCGATGGTCGCGGATTCGATTCCTCGCACGGCCTAAACATTTGTATGCATGAGTATCATTGTTTGTACCCGTCTGGGTGATTTTTATGTATGACATGTATGAAAAATATATCTATGTATTTGTATTAGTCATCTAGTACCCATAACGCAAGCTTTAGTTAGCTTAACTTGGGTCTAGATCCTCGCACGGTACAATAATTTGTACTCATGAGTATGATTGTTTCTATCGGTCTGGGTGTTACATATGTGTGATATGTATAAAAAAAAATTATGTATTTGTATCAGTTAACTAGTAGCCATAACGCAAGCTTTAGTTAGCTTAACTTGGGTCTAGATCCTCGCACGGTACAATCATTTGTATTAATGAGTATGATTGTTTCTATCGGTCTGGATGTTTTCTATGTATAATATGTATAAAAAAAATCTATGCATTTCTATCAGTTAACTAGTAGCCATAACGCAAGCTTTAGATATATTAACTTGGGCCTAGATGGCGCTGTGTGAATTATCCTTTATATATATTAATTTATAAGATATATCTGCTCCATTTGTGACGTCCTTCACAACACCAATGAACTAGTTAAATCAACTAATTACAAATCCGAACTACATAATTAATTCATGAATATTTAACAAAACAGCCATATTAATTACTCGTTGGTACACTGTCATTATCACAGACCGTACAGAGAAACAGTACCTGTATTCATAATAATAAGGGCGTTCTGTATTAAACATTCGTGTACCAATTTACTGCAGGAAAATAACTTTTATTTATTACTTTACTAACAATCATTTATACGGCTAACTATTTGAATTATATATATTATTTTACAAACAAGCCATACATTTTTGTACAAAATTAAGAATTTCCATATAAACTTACATTTCCTATTTTATTTTACCCCCTTAATTAATTTTTTATAGAATATCAGATTTGTTTATATCTAATAAATAGGCAAAAAAACAACTTTCAAGCTTCTACCTTCAAAAATGACCATATTTTCATACAGCCTTTCATCACCCCTTTCAAACTTTACAAACCCTTTTTTCGCATTTAAATGTGCTTTCGCAGAGCCCTTTTCAGGCTGTGAACCAAATTTCATTTAAATCGGTTCAGTAGTTTTGGCGTAAAAGCGCGACTGATAGACAGAAAGAGTTATTTTTACATTTATAATATTAGTAAGGATTATCGCGCCGCAGTCGTAATATTTCTCCGAAATAAAAATTAACTAGATTCCTAAAACAAACATTTTCAAATATAAAATGCTATCTAGAAAATTCCATAATTCATAGATCAAAAAATTGTACAGATCAACAACTGTCAGTAGATACACTACACTCGAGCCCATATAGGTTCAGCATATGTATTAGAGATGAATATAAAGTGAGCTCGCATTCAGTTGAATATTCGGGAACTACGCGTCATTCAAATAAATTGAAGTGAATCTAGTGACATAAGTACTTCTTTGTGCTATAACGGGTCCTTTTTAACATTTTTTTTCTATATCCTAACCCCTTTTCAAGTATAGGTGTATATATGTTGTGGCAATTTTCTGTTCAAAAGATCTTATTTTTCCGTTTTTTAATATACCTCTTTGAAGTTTATCAATTCCTAATATTAGTAACGCAAGAAAAATATTTAAACTTTCTTAACTTAAATTGATTAATAATTTGAAATAATATGTGTTGCTTAGACTTTTTTGATGAGTGTACTTTGATAGTACTAAGTCTCTAAATATATAATATAATAATAATGTAATATATAGTACATAGTAGATTATAGGACAATTCACATAGAGCTATCTAAACCAAAGGAATGCTAGGTAAAGCTTGTATTATGGGTACTAGATAACTAGATACAAATATATAGATATTTTTTTGGTAAATACATAGAAAACAATCATACTCATTAATACAAATGTTTGCCCCGTGCGAGAAATCGAATCCGTGACATCGGACGTAAAGCATCGTGCTAAACCGCTAGACCGCTGAGGTCGTCAGTATATATATACATAGGAATCTAAACCTTAAGGACAGAGAGGATTCAACAAAAATAACTTTTAATTTCCACTATTTTCCCTTAAAGTATTCAATTTAGCATTTGTTATTACGCTGACCTTTCATCTGTGCGGCTACCTCTGTCGAGGGGCCACAGACTCCATTAATATAAATATATAATGTCTTACGGGACGGTTCGGACACGCATGTTTTATTTATCAATGTGTAAATTAAATCGTGTAAAACATTGTATTAAATCAAACCTATTAAGGTACCTTATATTTTTGACGGCCTCGCTGGTCTAGTAGTTAAGTACACTGGTTTACTTTCGATTGTCGCGGGTTCGATTCCTCGCATGGTGTAAATATTTGTATTATGATTGTTAGTATAGGTCTTTGGGTGTTTTCTATGTATGTGTATTTATAAAAAAAAAGTATCTAAGTATTTATATCAGTTGTCAAGTACGAATAACATATACTCTGCTTAGCTTGGGCCTAGGCGCTGTGTGAACTGTAAAGAGTTATTAATATTCTTCCAAAAAATAAGAGTGTTAAAAGTTTGTGTATCCGTTTGTGGCATCGTAGCTCCAAAAGGAATTGACTGATAATGATTCGGATTTTTTTTATTATTTAAAAGCATACATGATATAGATTGGAACTAAAAAATTTTTACTTGATTCACACTTAATACATACAAACACCAATACAAACAATCATACTTATCAATCAAAATGTTTGTACCGTCCGAGGAATCGAACCCGCAACCATCGGATAAGGCAGTATGCTACAATAAATCGCTAGACAACCGAGGCCGTCAACAAAACCTAACAGAACAGAACTGCATGTCTGTAATATTCTTAACACTAACGACTTAAAGGCTGCTCTACAACCCTTGACACGCATCGCCGGTAAAGTGCTTTCCATAAATGCGCTAAGACATGACGCTCCCATTTCCATACATTTTATAAAATAAACCTTATATGGGGGAATTGTATACGACGTCACTTCCCGTATCACATGTCTAATAATAAAGGACACGTACACACGCGTGGCCCGTTAAATATTATTTCCCATTCACGTTATTTCCAACATGAATATATTATTCATGATAACTCGCATGTTATATTATTAGAAATACAATAATCGGAAATAGAATCCCGTAGAATATAGTGATATTGGATTGAACTGATAAATATAAAATATTTTTTGTATCTAAGAATAGATATTCAAGTATTGTGAATGGAAGTCGTTTCTGAAGATGAGGTACTACGCCTCAGTTCGCCAAGCAACATCCTTTGTAAACTTCATTTGTAAGTAGTGCTTAGGTTGCCACTTAACTCCCGTTGAATTATAGGATAAAAGACTTCAAAGCATAAAATTGGTAAAATAATAGGATTTGAAAATTTTCGTTACTGGTACAAAAATGTATGTTATTTATAATAATCTATGAGATATTTTTTTTGTTGGTAAATTCATATAAAAATCTAAATAGTACTGCCTACTAATATAGTAATATCTCAGTAACAATTCACACAGCGCTATCTAACCCCAAGCTAAGCAGAGCTTGTGTTACGGGTACTAGACAACTGATATAAATACATAAATTCTTTTTTTGTAAATACATGCATAACATACATAGAAAACACCCAGACCGATACAAACATTCATACTCATGAATTAAATATTTGTACCGTGCGAGGAATCGAACACGCCACGTTCCGAAGTAAAGCGCTGTGTTAAACCGCTACACCACCGAAGACGTCTACACCATGGACTTATACTGTTGACTTCATCCTCATCTCCTACTGCCCCGCCACCGTAACATAATACAGTGTGCAAGTGCACTGTATTCTATTATCGTCCATAATAAAAAATCGTCCAGAATGTCGTATAAATTATGTAATTTTAACAGTCCAGTATAAAGTTATAATATATATAAGTCCGCTATAATAGCTTCTTTTTTAGTAAAAACCTATTCTGTCCAAAACCTCTAATAGTCGGGCCATCTTCTTCCTATACGTGTGTATGTCCTGCTCTAGCTGATTGTTCGGGTAACGGGCCCATTGCTCGCAGAGTCGACCTAATGACTGCCATCTCATTAACTGTGATTGTGTAACTATGACACGCCTAAACAGTTGAACGGATTCAATGAAAGTCGTTACACTGAGTGACCATTACCTAAATTAGCACCAAGTTTTCTGTCAAAATTTGGGCATGTCCAACGATTAAGTTCACTATTGACAATGCTTCTAGACAATTGTTAAGATCTATAATTAATAGTTTAGGGTCCTCGTACATTTCCGATGAGAGCCGTACGATCCCAATCAACGCGTCATTTGATTGGCGCATCGGTTGATACGTCTCGAACTTTTGGGGGATGCACCAATCGGAAAGCCTCAACGGCACCGGTCACGTCCGGACTGAGTAGTCCGGACTGGATGTGGTTGTATGGATTCAGGTTTAGAATCATTGAAATGTAGTAGTCATGTGTCTGTACGCTGTTATTTCACTGCCATATATCACCTTTTAAACCAGACCTAAAACTGCAAATAGCTAAGACAGAATCTAATAGACGAGTGTATAATATCTCCCTCTAGTGAATAATCGAATAAAATAAAACAACAGATATATACAATGAAATTTTATTTCCCAGTAACTATTTATAATTTATCTTTTCATAATCAAACTTGTATTTACATCTAAACTTTCATATCACGTAGGTAACAATACCATAAAATTATCATTAGATAGGCTATCGGCCGTCAACGTACAAACTAGAGCTGTGACAAAAATAACAGTTTTTAATAACGACGATCGCTCTGTTAATATAAATAACACTATTAATAACGTTGTAGCCGTTGATAGCGAGCGCTGATGCTGTGATATTGTCCCGGCGTGTAGCTCAGCAAGGCTTTCTTCTGGAACAAACGCTCTGGCTTAGTCTTATAATACAAAAAGAGTAGAAGGATACAATACGAAACTAGATATTACTACTGCTCAATAGTCAAGATGAGGCTTAGATTAGAACTCCATTAATTGCCTGGCAATGACTAATTCAGAGGCGAAACATATGAGTGATTTAATGTCGAATCAATTGGGACACCATAGTTAGATTCACGACTACAATTTATTATTATTCTATAAAAATAAAAAGAATAAAATAACGACCGATGTAATCCATCAAGTTAGTATTCGTAACTGCAATAAAAAGTTTCCTTTCTACGAGAATGATTTTGGTATTAGAAATAGAATTCTTTACTACTTTATTCTAAACTTCTGCATGCAATATTACGCGTATTGCGAACCAAAAATACATTACAAAAAAAAAATACAAATAATTCAAAATAAAAAATTATTCCTCAAGTATGACACCAGTTCTTTAGTTAGGTAAAGTTTAGTTAATTAGATTTCTTCATATGTTAATTCCCTACGAGGCTTACAACCCAGCTACCCGGGAGATTTTCCTCTGGATTTGATGCCGGGGCAGAGGAGTTCGCCCCGAGGCCCCAACCTTCACCACCCTAGGGGGTTACGGATGACCAGTGTCAGCAAAATGTGGACATGTCATATTACATTCACCATGACGTTCACAGCTTGGCTCTGACTATCCCATCGGGGTAAATGGTCGTGACATTCTATGACATGTAGCAAAATGTCAAATATGATTATTATATTGACTTTGAGTAAAAAATCTCACCAATAACAGATTTTTTCATATTAAAAAGTACTAAAACGTCACCTGTCACCGGCAGCGTGTTAGAGCGCGCGAAATTTTTCAACGAATTTAAAAATGAAGAATGGAATTCTGAATTTGAATATTTGTATTCTGCATATAGAATACAACATATATGTTGCACATATCAAAGAATATGACGTGTATATATATGACTTTGTTGTTTATTTCCATCGCGCGACATTAAAATAGTAGTTAAGTATGTTTTTTGAATTTTCCCTATTTTCTGAGCAATCATTAAAATTTTTCGTTCCGTCAGAATTGCTACATACACAGTACAAGAAACGAACAAAAAAACTAATTTTCATGATATTAAATTCAGTATTTAATCCGCAGTATTTTAAACAAAACTTATTATCACAATAAATTGCAACCAAGTGCACAAAGATGGTAGTCAAAACTACATATAGTAGATAATTATAAAAACAGTAAAATACATATTTTTTATAACTGGTCTCCAGTCCAACTTAAAATCGGGATTGAAATTCCGACAGCCGGAGCCGAGGTTCGAACGCGTAGCGGTGCTCTCAGACCAAAGTCCTATCCGTCAGGCGGGAGTTGGCTTTAAGCCGCGCCATAAGTCCTTCTGCGGGTGTGGAGTGCCATTTGCATTCGCGCTATTGTTCGGTTAAGCTCTAAAGGTTCATTTTTTATATCATTAGAATTTAAGCTAAGAACACATGGAAAAATGCTACGTAACTAACTAAAAAAGTCAAGTTTAGGCAGCAAAATGAATGATTATTATTTTAGGCATCTATCCAAAGCGTTTTAGTGGTTTTGAGGAAAAAACTTGGCAAGCACATTTTTGTATAGTCATTTGTAACTAGAGAGTTGGACGATCTGTTTATCAAATCGTTGGACTCGTAATGACAATTCCTTTTAAATTACTTTATCTATTTAGGACTAAGCGTTTTGATCATCAAGAAATATGTTGAAGTAGATATTTAAATTTCATGTATAACTATAGTAACCGTTTCATATTTTCTTTATGTCATTAAAATGGCAAACAGCTGGCAACCTACCTGATGGTAAGTGGTAACCGTCAAAATATATAAGTGAACATAACTAGAACATATTTATGACTACGGAAGTTCCATAATGACGTCATATCCATGGTGTTGTTTATGTATATAGACAAAAACAAATATAAGATCAGGTGCGTCAGTATGACAGTATTCTAATTATGTAAAAAAAAATAAAAGACAGTTTTTTTTGAAGGCAGTCAAAAACGAATAATCAACTTTGATTGGTATTACTCGTAATTGCAAAACAAGCCGGCTGAGCATTTTAGTACATGAAGTTATAATAAAATTACGAAAGAGTTTCGGACGAAATATTACGCAACTTTGTTAATTTAATAAAATATTAATTTCTCTAGTCTTGGCCCATTATTAGTCCAGTTAACCAAGCATGACTGCGCTCCTACTGAAACGTACATGCCTCTGTTAATTCCATCTTTTAAATTGCGTAAACCTTTTAATAATCCATTATGTCTAATTTATAGGAAAAAAAAACGAATCGACACATTTATCAATAACTCGAAAATAAATGAAAAAGCTAAAATTAGTTTATGGTTTTTAGTATTCGTATATAATATTATATTACCTGTGATATATTTGAACTCAACAAACATTTATTCAATTTAGTTCACAATTTCCATTACCCTGGATCTGATCATTAGAGGATAGGAAAGGAGACTGTTAGTATTGTGGACTAATATTTCCATTGCTAGCAATATACCATGTCAGGTTAGCCTCCACGTGGTTCCTCCGGAAACCATCGTGCAAATTGCCATTTTTCACGTTGGGCTAACTGAGCTGACCTCACACTAGTCTTATTATCCTCCACTGGTGCCCCGTCAGCGTAAACCGTTAACGCAGGAGCACCATTCCATTATCATCCATTAAATAAATATAATTTATATTTAAATACCAAACTTTTCATACTCTTTCATTATTTGTATTTAGGAAACATTAATCAATCACCATTAAGATAAATCGTCTGAACGAAAATCGTTTAACAGACATAATGGAAAGGGGAAAATAAAGAGGCTGAAATAAATTGCATTATTTTCACCTTTTCAGTGATTTACCGACACAGTGGCATGTATTAGTTAGATTATTTAAACAGTAGCTTCATCGGTGCATTTCATTATTTTTTAAGATTGATAATTAGTGGGACTTTTAATGGATGAATATGGAGTACTGTACTCTCGTACGTGGAAAGGAAGAAAATGATGAGGCCGAGGTAAATTGAATTAGTTTTTGCTTTCTGAGTACTTTAGCGTAAGTGTTATGTATAAGTTAATTTATTTAAACATTTTAGTGCATTTAATTATTTATTAAGATTAAGAATTAATGGGACTTTTTTTAATGGATGAATATGGAATCCTATACCCTTCTATGCTAACGGTATATGTTGACGGGGCAACACTGAAGGATGTGTAGCGTGATGAGTAGACTTTGTAAAAAGTGGTCTACTTTCACGTTGATTGTTACTTTTAAACTTTCGTGTTTAATGTACATACGAGATACCGTGAGTGCTGTGTGTCGCGAACTTTCGTTAAACAATCTAGTGACGGTAGATGAAGAAAAAACTGCTGTCACCTATCTACATTGACATCGCTGTTACTCCAGTCAGCTCGTGACCACGGCTAGTGCAACCTAGTCGAAATGTCGAGAGAGGTAAATACCTTTATTTGCCATAAAATTATTCGTGTTAAAACCCGGTTAATAATTTAAATAATTTCACGTTGATTGCTTTTAAGATATTTTGGTTGATGTTTACGATATGCAGTGAAATTACTGGGCAAAAGGTAGGCCTCCGAAATAGCAATAAGAGGTATCTCGGACGTCACAAAACGTTGTGATGTCCGTAGTGCTGTTCATGTATATAGATGACAGTGACTGTAGACAGACAGAAACTGTAGTTACAATAGATTAAAATAAATTATTCTTCTTCTAATAATACCATACTTAATAAGTTGTTACGTACCATTAAGCACGTGAACGGAGACAGTATGCGACCTGGCGCCGCGGACTGCGCACGTGTAATTTCCTGAATCACTTGTATTTACACGTGCAAGCCGCAGCAGGCTGTCTGCACCGCCTGCCACTTGTTCTGTTTTGACACTGCAAAAATAAAAAATAAAATATTATAAATTAATGTAAGACACAAAAAATAACTACTACTAGTACCCTAAACTAAAATACCTACATATATATAAATATATACGTACATACTGTGCTGTGCTGATGTCGGCCGCAGCTTGCCTTTACACTTTCACGGGACGGTAAGGGGCGAGTGCAGACGGCACTCTAAACCCGAGGAGAGGGACTTATGGAGCGGATGAAGGCCAACTCCTTCCTGACGGATACGACTTTAGTCTGAGGGCACCGCTAAGGGTTCGAATCTCGGCTCGGGCCATCATAATTTCGATCCCCATTTGTATTGGACGGGGGATCGAACTGAGGGGAATGAAAATGTAATATATTCTTTAAGCTTGAAACTGCGTCATGTGTCCATAGACAATGTGATTTTAACATTTTTTAAACGTGGTGATTGACGGACTTTATTATATGGGAGGGGCAAGTTATTTCAAATATTCAGTTTATTATATATAATGATATTTAACCCTGATATTTAAATTCGATTCAGTATGTATAAATTTGATCAAGGTTTTATTACATTTCTGATTGGATACCTACATTAAAATGATATGAACCGTACATTAAACCCGGCATACATCCTTACACACTCATAAATTAGGTTCATTCCCGTCCAGGTAGGGTGTGTGGGTTTAATTTATCACATGCCCTGATTGCGGATTGATAGATTGTGTATTGCCACTGGACTATCGTACTGCCACTGCCAGGGATTTAGGGTTGTGTCCATCAACTACCTAACATTAGGGTTGCCAATTACTAATTATTTGATAATTAATTTAATTACCAACTAATTTTTTTGGCTTTAAAAATTTGTTCTGTTTTCAAATTAAAATAAATTTAATAACTTCATCACGTCAGCCTTTTATAGGAATATGTTATGATATTCCTATAAAAGGTTTTCGTCCGTTTTGTTTTCATGAAAACCATGTTATGTGTATTTTTTAAAATTAATTAAAAAAACATGAATAAAACAAACAACAATAGAATAATTTTGATAAATCGATCGCTTCAGCCTCTAACAGGTATTTATCATGAGAGTTTGCCCGTTTTGTTTGTTACGTGTTTTATAATTAACTAGCTGTACCCGCAACTTCGTCCGCATGGAATTTAACAAAAAAGTTAATTAGAGAATTTTTCTAAAATAAAAGTAGCCTAAGAAGTTACTCCTTATTACATCAGCTACCTACCAATAAGTCACTTCAAAATCGGTCCAGCCATTTCAGAGATTAGCCCGAACAAACAGATAGACAGACAGATAAAAAAGATATAAAATATTATTTTGGTGTATTTATATTCATATGCATGTAGTTAAAAAAGATTATTTCACTTTCACAAACAGACACTTCAATTTTATTTATTTGCAAAGATTATTTTTTTAATTTATAAACAAACAAACAAGTATAAAACACTTTAACAGTATACTCAAAATCGAAAAGTGCCATTAGAATCGATTAGAAATGACGCTTTGTTACACAAATTCAATGGCAAAGTAATGTGCCGTGTAATGGAAATTTAATCATGCTTTTGTTGGTAACCGGGACAATCCCACATTCCCATCCCTATTCGATATAAACCCAGGATTTACGGCGACACACGAACCTGACAATAAGCGGTGAAAGCCCATGCAATCTTAAGGGAGGACTACGTCTCCGAACTCTTAATTAAATTAATTGAAAACAATGAGTTACTCGTTCTACATGTACTTCCTTGTATTGACTTTTGTTGTTTTGTATCAAAAGGTGGATTTAAAGAGAACAAACAATGCTATTTTATTACGGCTAGTGGTCGCTCAGTGGTTTTACGCAAAAACTACTAAACGGATTTTGATGACACTTTACAATAATATAGCTTACTGACTACTCGCCCCGGCTTCGCCTGGGTGTACGTGTATTATATATATAAACCTTACTTTTGAATCATCTATTAAAAAACCCTTTCAAAATCCGTTGCGTAGTTTTAAAGATTTAAGCATACATAGGGACAGACAGCGACAGCGACATTATTTTATACTATGTAATGATGATACATCAGAATAAAACATAGGTTATAAATTTCAGGAGGATGACGCCGTGGGCCCTCCTAGTTATTTAATAAAATTATATTTAACATAAACTTTAGACTTCGTACAAAATTATCTAAGTGGGTACCTTTTTTAACATATTTCAGCTGCCAAGTAGCTTACAAGCTGTGCTTTGGTTAAAGGGCGATATAGTGAAATTGGATAAACAGAATAATAAATATTTTAGTCTTTTGGAATGCCAATGCATGACGGTTTGTCCGTCTGGTTGGTTATCTACTTGTTCGTCATTCTACTTATATAATGTTTATTTTGTTAATTTTAAAGCATTTTTTTATCTATTAATCTTTTGGATGTCACGATCTTACGTTCGCTGATTATGCCCCTATTGTTATACTAATTACTTTGCTTGGAATCTTGGACATAATGCGTATAAAAATACTATTCGTTAATTAAGTCTATTATACTGCAAATTGCGTAGGCTTGTAATAATTAAGATAAGGTCACACTGGTATTAAAACTAATGGAAAGGGCTGCAAGGGACCATTAGTAACGGGACCTAGAGGTCCCATTGTTAGCAATATACTATGTCAAGATGATGTCTTTTGACCATTGCAGTTGACTTCTAATGAATTCGTTACGATATGCTAATGATTATTCTATCATCCACTACTGATGACCCGTCAGCGTATACCGATATAATATGGTATTGTACTCCCACCTGCTTTAGAGCAGGGTAACCATATTTCCTTTATTCATGAGCATGATTGTTTGCATTGGTCTAGATATTTGCTATGTATATTTATCTATTTACAAAAAAATCAAGTTCTATGTTACCCATAACACAAGCTCTGCTTAGCTTGGGACTAGATGTCGCTGTGTAATGTGTGAGCTACAAGCTCCTGGGATATTATTATTATTATATTAACCCATTAAAAAAATTAAACGAGTGGATCAGTCAATCTTTGTGTTCACGTTAGATGTCGGGCACAGGTGTACCTGAGGAAATGAGTTATGTATTGGAAGAATATTGTAATCGATCATACATCACGGAAATTGCTTCTCGAAAATTAGCAGCCTAAACGCGAACGAGGTGCGTTCTTTTATGAGAATGTATAAAAACTTCTAAATCATGATTTTTGTTTAAAATCATATTTAACATACAGTACTTACATTAAAAGTTTAATTAAAAATATTTTATTATGTTTGTTCTTGCTTATCTTTCAAAAAGCTGCGCCGATTTTAACGGGACTTTCACTAGCAGATAGCTAATGTCGTAAGAGGTAACTTAGGCTATTTTTATTTGAAACATTTTATTTTTTTAATTCCACGCGGACATAGATTAGAATAGTATATAATAGTATAGAATTCTTTACTCATATAAACTTACTTTGAAACATAATTATCTTAAAAAATAAACTGGCAGGGGGCGGAATAAGGGATGAAACATTTCAGCAGACGAAGTCACGAGTGACGACTACAAATATGTACAATGTCGACTTTTTCTGCACAATTTTAAATATTTTTGTACCTACGTTACAAGACATGTTCAACAGTTGCCTTGTTAGTTTTTTTCATGGTTCTTATTATTTAATTGACACATCTGAGCTAACAATATACTAGAGTTACTTTTACTATTTTTAGCGTACGAAATAGTTTTGGTAACGTAAAAAAATATACTCTCTGGGAGTGACATAACTTTTAATAAACGTAGGAGAACTGAAAGTTTTGCACTTTTGATGCTATTGTTAGAATTTTCCCTTTTTTTAATATAGAGACTCCATATTTTGAAAATAATCAAAGATTTTTAAACAATTGAGTGATATACGTACAGTATATATTTTTTTTAATGTGCATTTACATAAATAAGTACCTTTAAAACATATTACTATTGAAATGTGTTAATACTTAGCTTATTTAAAAAAATCTATTTCTGTTTATATTAGTATAGATTTATTATATTAAATCTTAAGTTTAACGCATAATGCTGTAGCTAAAAGTTAAAGTAGTTGATTCCATAAACTTTATAACTCTGTTTACACGTGTTAGAAGTTGAACCATCAAACTTTGTTTACGTATAAGGCTTTTGTTGTGTTTAACACAATCACACACCATAACTTAAGGAATTTTCCATTAAATGAATAGATACTGAAAATAGGGCACAGAAAACTCACGTGAGATTTTTTCTACAATGAAATAAACTTTATCCTACGTATTCTTTCTTACCAGCTGGGACTGAATAAGTCGTGTTTTCTTCTTCAATCGAATTAAGTTATAGATTCTTAATTCCATTATAGTTTTTCTTCGTGTTTACTATATGATTTTTGCTAGATCCAATAAATATTAAGATTTGTTTACTATCTAATATTTATAATATCCGACCTTAAAGACCTCATGGTTTTGAATTTCCAATAGCATTAGGAACGACGGCGACGTGTCAAATGCGACACATTTCAAAGGGCTAAGGTGTCATGCCTCGGTACGATGTGATTTCTGACCTACATATAATACCTATTACTCTACCTGCTATTATTTTAATTCTGACTTTGATTCTGACTTGGACTCTGACTTTGACCATGACTCTGACTTCGACTTTGATTGTGAATTTTACTCTTACTTTGAGTTTTATTATTAATATATAAATATACCTGATACCGCCTCTAGTAGTATCAGCGTTGAGAGCTCTGCCCTCATGCAGCCACGTTAGCAGAGCAGGCGTCTCCACATGCCTAGCTCTACACACCAGCGCCAATGTGGATTCAGCCTCGTAATATTTCTCCAAGAGTGGCGCTCCTGCCTCGTCCACCACCCACACTTGTGGTGCTACAAACAAAATTATATTTTGTGAATAGCATGACACAATACGACCTACGTAAATAGAAATTATACCTGTGTAGTTTTATACTATAGTATTATTATCGACCAGCTCCGGTTACGCACCAGTATTTCTGTCCACTATATTTTAATTTTATCTATTAAAAACATAGATACAAAATATTAAATAGTATATATCTTATGTTAGATCAAATTTGAAATAGAAAATATTCTCTTTAATTTAAGTTTAATTTAAAATGACTAAATTGAGCTGTGGAATGGTTGGAATAATGATCAATAATTATTAGAATATTGTTAGTAATGGGGATAGTGGCTTCTATGGCTAGCAATATACCATGTCAGGTTTATCTACTTATGGTTCCTTTTAGAAACCATCGTGATTAACTCCTGGTAAATATTCTATCTGACCTGACTTTATGCTCACGGTGCCCCGATAGCTTACAACTTTATTGTTAGCCCAATATATTGCAGCATTATCATATACCAATATAAAAAAATACTCACTATTAACGTGCAAATAAGTCTTGCTAACTCTTGGCGGATGTGTTGATATCTGACACTCGTATACTCCTTCATCATCAGGTTTAACTTCCCTGATGAGTAGCCTCCAGTTTCCAGGGTACCGCTTCGCAACCGTCACTCGGTTGTCAGCTGCGTACGTAGTGGCACCAACTGTGAGGAGTTCTGGCATCTCATCTCTACCTCTACGTCGGACCCAGGACACCTGGAATTAAAGATTTATTTAAAACATGTACATTATCGTCCTCTATGTTTGACGTATTCAGGATACTCGCCAAAAAGGCATTTAAAAAAATATAGGTCACACTGGCCTAGTGCACAGAACTGCATTTTTTTAAAGCATACAGCAAGAAGCAAACTAGCTTGCGCCTCACTTACTAAGTGATTACCGCCGCCTTTGTGTACCCGAACATCAGAATTCTGTGCCAATTTATATTTATAACTAATTCTCCGGTGATGGAAACACCGATAACAAACCACGGCATCAAATACATATCTAACATGTTTTTTTGAACATGTTAGATATGTACATGTTCATCACTATCCAGAAAAACAGTCGTATATTAAGCTCAGGGTCATATAATTTATTCATTCCTATGAAAATTTTCCCATCACAACAAACAACAAAGCTAAGAATAGTCGGCAGGTTAATGTAGAAGGTCAATGGAAATCAGTTCGAACTGCGACCATTTTAGTAGAGGTTGTTAAAGAACTGAAATAATTATGTGAAAATAACACAATAACGATACCTGTATTTCTAATATTTGATAAACGAAATAATAAAGAATATAGAAATACTTTGCAAAGTAACAAAATTCACGAGATACCATATTACATGAACGTCATAGAACAGGAAACAAAGAATTCCTTGTTACAAATAAGGAGAAATTTGTAACAAACATCCTTCGCTTACATTCCTTTTATATTTACAAAAGAATATAGTATGCATATGAATATACATGTATTATAATTCAAATATTTGTCCAGAACCGAATAATAATTCATAAATTTAAGAAAATAATAATAAATAAGGAAAATTATTATTTTTTTAATATTAAGAAATGTTTCTTTTGCATTTGTTTTTATATGTAACATAAAGTTGTAGATAAAGTGAAGACTGTCAATTTGTGGATTTGTATGTTAAGGTTTTACATAAAAACAGTTCGCGAAATTAGGTTGAAATCTTCGCAGAATATATTGTTAAATATGGGTCAGTGAAGTTAGAAGCCACAATGCATATTATTCGCGGAGCAATAAAGGCGAGGAAAAAATTAGAATGAATTAAAAAAAAAATTGCTAAAAACGGCATGGACCTTCAGTCTATGGAAATAAGGGCGTAACTATAAAAAAATATATATGGGTCAATACGTAAAGTAGCTAGGTGACATATTTTTTTAATATTTTTAATAAACCCGTAAATTAATTTAATTGAGTTAATTTAAACTCTTTTAATAGTCAATTTATTTAGAAAAGAACTGAATTTTTTTCGGACTACTCTAATGCTGTTGGCAGATGGCCTTTACAGCTTCACCGGACGATACAGAACAAGTGCAGATGTCACCCCGACTTATGGAGCCACTGAAGGCCAACTCCCATCTGATGAATACGATTTTAGTCTGAGAGCATCTACAAATGTTGGGGCCACGAATGGAAACCTACTTGGAATAGCAAAATCAAGCATTGCCATTCCGGAGAAATATCACGCCTCTGATCATTGTCATTTCCCTGCTGTATCTAATCCGTTAACAAAAAATATCTTAAAAAGCAAACTTCTTGGCACATAAAATAGAGGCTGAGGTCCCTAACCAAAAAGTAATAAGCATAATATAACTTTTTGCAAAGTCTGCTTTCGTAAAAAGTACTAGGATTTCAGGAGAAATATATCGCAAATTGAATAATAGTTCAGTTCAGTAGACGATTCTATTCGATTTCTAGGCTGTCTCTTGTATGACAGTAATTACGTAAATCGACTAATCATAGGAAATTATCGTTATATTTCGCCGAAGAAAACAATTTTCTTCGGAATAATGACTTAGGTTAGGGTATTCAGTATTCAATAGCTCAAGTTCATAATTGTTACTTTGTTTAATATCTTTGGACTATATACGGACAGACGGAGTATATTGACATTATTGTTGTATATCATGTAATCTATGTTAAATAAATCATAGTCTCATAGTAGTATTTGTTTGTTTGAACTATTTTAATGCTATTGACCGTAAACAATTATTTTTAGATTTTAAATTCGATTGTTTAATTGCAAAACATACGTCATTACATAAAAAAATGTTATACATACATAATGAATTTGTCCGACATGTTTAGCATAGATAAGATGTTTAGCCTAGCCCTCGACCTTTTTTTGTTATACTAATATGGCAAACAAGCATACAGCTCATCTGATGGTAAATGGTTATGGTAACCAACGTTTGAAACATCAGGGATATTACGTGCGCTCTACTCTATTAAAAATAAATTAGTCAACGTTTACAAATAGCAGTTAAATTACTCATAATTGATATGTAACATTACAAAAAGACTCTATTAACCTAATATTTGATTCAATTCAATTCAAAATATCTTTATTCATGTAGGTCTATTACAGACTCTTATGATTTGTCAAATCTACCGTCAGTTCGGAATGATTTAGAGACGAGAAGAACTGACAAGAAACTCAACTCGTATTTTTGTAAAATAAATGTTGTACATGTTTACAGAGAATAGAGTCACCACCAACATATGCTATTGCAAAAAAACAAAAAATCTAATCCGTGTTCGCAACCTGAACAGACTAGTCCCCACAAGCAGCCCTCACGGATATGACGGATGAGCCAGCCATCATTGCACTCAACCATATTTGAAGGAGCACGTCGACCCGGCCCACCACACCGCCACGAGTTTGAAGTTTATAGCGAGCATGATTGTTTCAAGTTACTCCGCTACGTCATTTATATTATTTACAGCATAAACTGCATCAATCGCAGTTTTCACTCATTACAATATTTAATTTACATTATTTAAATATGTCAATACTAAATTTACAATAAGGTTCTTTAATGTTTATTACATTATCTGTATCAAGTTAAAAGATCATTAAAAGTAATCATTACGTTTATTGAAACCTTACAAACCAATCCCTTAATTGCATTGCCAAAGTCCAAATAATCATAGTTACACAACGAAATATCAAACCAAACAACATTTCGTACCACTTCGCAATAACAATTAGAACATTTCAGATTTCTTTGATTACACCTCATAAAAGTCCCTTAGATACTTGCAGTCGGGTTTCCAACAATGGTTACCCCGATCCCTATAATTGTTAGAGTGGAACGTAATTCGCGGGATGCTTTTATAACAATGCTCTTGTGCTATTAGCAAATTTTAAGTGACTCTTATCTTGATTGCTCTATGAGGTCTAAACATTCGCGTGTTATTTCTGTGTATGCCAGTATGCCAGCATACACAAGAATAACACATAGGCATAGATACATGGTGTTTTAGAATTTAATATGAACTATTTGCCACCTATTGTCACCTAGAACTCAAATCGATGGCCCGAAGGGATTTTCAGTAATTGGTATTTATTAATTAATGATATTGATATGGTACACCTGCTTGCGTTAACGGTTTACGTTGGCAGCAATGGAGAATGATAAGATAAACATTATCAGATCACAAGCCATCGTGACAAAGTTACTATAAATTTATCATGATAGTTTCCAGAGCCGCGTGGATATCAACCTGATACAGTACATTGCTAGCAATGGAGTTATCAGACCAGATTACTAACAATACCCTACCCCCGATATTTTTGTTTGTCATCTAGAATTCATATCAAGATAGGGGAAGAAACTGTTAGTAATTAGGATTGGCGACCCCCTAGCAGCGTATCATGTCAGGTCCATATCCACGTGGTCTCCTGGCTAATTCATGATGAATCTCCAAGATGGGCTAACAGACAGAAATGACTTTAAGTTCATCATATCACCCTTCATTAGTGCCCCATCAATGCATATAGTTAGTGCAGACGGGTACACAATTCCATTATCATTGATACAAAAAATAAAACAGAATGACATTTGAAAAGAAAATATTTGAAATTATAAAAACATTAATTGTATCTGAGTATGATCGTAAGCCGATTGGAATTCGAAGCAATACAGCATTATATACCTTCTTGTATTAGGTTTTAAGGTCTATTTTTAGTTGAAAATCGTCAGTTCAATTACGAAATATCAAAATAAACAATTAGCAATAACAATTACATTTCTATTTCAGCATATTTTAACAACCGTTACGATTGAAATCTTAATCTGTTAAAAAGATTTTCTATTGTTTTCCAGACCTTCTTTTATTTGATTTGTATTGACTATAATGAGCAATTATAGACATTGCTACTTTGTGGATTCTTTACGATCGTCTTATATGCAGATTTCAATGTATGAAAATCATCATCTTTTAAAATAGTTTGGTTTGTTATCTATGTTTGTATCACCGAATGAGTCTAACATATATATTAACAAAGGTTTTTCTTCATGTTAGGTAGATTAAAATTCATAACTTCTGGTGCCTAATTCCACAAATATAATACTCTCATAAAAATCTAAAAAAATAATCAACAGACTTACCGTTTTATCCAAAAGGAGGCTAATCCTACAATTTAAATAGGCGTCCTCGCCTAACTGTATTGTGGTTTTAGTAATATTTCCTTCCGGGGTATCTTCGAAATTTGGTCCATATTTTCGGTCGTGATCAAAATACGTATGTTTTACAGACACTACATGCGGTACCATCTCGATTTTCGGTACAACATCTGTTTGGGTAACATCTGTTGGCTTCTGTGAAGCTTGGGGCACTCTGAACGACTTCGTGCTATCTATAGTTGAGTTACCCAATTTTAACATTACAGGCGCTGGCGCTATATCTGTACTGAGCGCATAAAACGATGTGACAGTTTGGTCCGTTTCTGTTGTAGATGGTACAGGGTTTTCTAAAAAAAACATTAGTGTTAGATATAATGTAAAATCATTTAAAATACTAGTATGCAATTTTGAAAAATTTGAACTAATGTTGTTACTCGACTAGTTGAATTGCCGTGCGACCATGAACTTGAGTATAAAGTTGACTTGGCAAACATTATTCTGCCACATAAATTAAAGTACTACTATCACTAATAAAATAGGGGTTGATGATAGAAGGGTAAAAATGGGGTTGTATGAATTGTTTAATGCCGAGTCAAAAAAAAAATTTAGGGTGAACCACCTTAATCACTTAGAGACATTAATAATTGTTTTATTCTCAGAACTCCTGAATACAAAAATTCGTAAGAATCGATCAATACCAATTATCTGAGAAGTTTTGTTACAAACACAGCGACATGAGAATTTTATATTTTAGAAGATAAGCTGTAGTTGATACTGTAATGCAAAATAAGTATTGCAAAGTAATTAAATAAAGTAATATACCTACATATATTGTATTCTTTAACTAGAAATGAAGATTTAATTATTTATAAACTTACCTACGCGTTAAAAACTTCTATAATTAGAAATTAAATTGTTTACATAAACAAAAGACTTAATAACGAAGCGGCAGCAATACAGCTAATATTAGTAATTAAAAAATCATTTGGAAGAATTACAGAACAATAAAAAAACATTGGTAAATTAAATGCTGTGTACATTAAAATTAGATTACCAATATGAGTAATTTTGAGATCTCTCTCTCTCGCCTCTAAAAAGGTATCTGCATGTGTTACAAGTTCACAGTTAGGTACTGGCAGTCTACATTAATTTTGTATACAAAAATTAATATGAATGTCAAAAATGTTATAATAAAACAAATATTTATATGTAGTATCATATTATTAATTTATCTCGCCGTCAATATATAATTTAAAAACCGCACAACATCTATTTTCAACAGCGTGGGTGCCTCAGTCCCACCAGTCCCCAAGCAATTTGCTTTGTAGGCTGTTTTGGTTTTAGAGTGCAGATTAGGCAACGAAATAATAGGATACGAATCATAAGAGGCATGACATCTTAGGCCTATGGAGTGGCAAAGCATGAGTGTTATCACGGGTGTCACGTGATAACATAATGTTAGCAGTAATATTCATGTAGATCGTCAGATAGATCGTCAGCCTATTCGCCATTAGATAAGAAATACGAATCATTCAATCATGAATTGTTGGTACTACTTTATAGAACTTCAACAAACATAAATAAAGAAGCGAGGCAGATATTTTGATCGTACCTTTAATCTGAGAAAGTGATTTTATTTTCCAAGTTATATTTAGCAGTGAAAGTAACACATTAATATTTAAGAGTTGATCTTCTGAGAGAGTACAATTTAGGTATCCATTTGTGAGAACTCTCGACAGAATAAAACATTCCATTTGTTTCGTCACCTCGGTCTCTAGATTCCATGTTTATAACTAATTTTTTAAATATTAATTTATATCTATATTACATATATATTCTTAATCATAGCAAATATGTTGGATTGTCCACTCCAGAGACACTGGACATCACTGCACTGCTGTGGACCCAGTGCTTCTGGACGTGGATATGGATCATACATGAATTGGAAGGATATAAATTGTAATTACTAAAATAGTTTATAAGATGTTTACTAACATAATATAGATGGATATTCGAATTAAATTAATTAAAATAGTATATACATAGTAATCATAGATATATGAGGGTTAACCTTATTATAAAATTACTCTACTACCGGTCTGACCCTGCTTCGTATGGGCATTTTCGCAACGCGTACGACGAAATTTTATAGCTAACTGTTTTAATCCTTGGGTTACATTCTTGAAGTTTAGTTCATAAAGTATTCATAATTGGGATGATTTTGTAATTCAAATTTGTAATATTAGACGCCTAGCATGTGCCTAGTATATATGTATGTAAGTTAAGGTATTATTTAGAATTAACCTTATTTTTTAATGTACATTCTATATTATACTAGCGGTTTCAACCACATGAAATTTATCACCTATAACATATATTTCATACTGATGTATAAACTATATTACAGTAAAGTTTCATCAAAATCCGTTCAGTAGTTTTTGCGTGAAAGAGTAACGAACATCCATGCATACTCACAAACTTTCGCGTTTATAATATTAATAAGATATATATTATACATACCAGTAGCGAATTGGCATATGACTATCTGTGTGAGAAAAAGAACCCCTGCACTCCACATAGCGCCTGAGTGAGGCTCCGCCCCATCCGGGGCTTCATAATCTGTAACAAACAGATAATAAATGTAAAAAAGTACGTTCATACAACAACAGTATGAATAAAAATATCCTTTAACAATAAAGGAACAAATGAAGAAACGTTGCTATATTTACGTTATTATATTAGTACGTGAAGAAAAAACTCTGTACCCCTTTTTAAGGAATTTGCGCGGAAGGAGTATGAAATTTTGTACATTTTAGTTTATTTAGAGAAGGAGTAGAGAATGCACAAAAATACATTATATCAATACACAATCATTACACACACTACTGGGATACACATACTTTTCAACATTTGTTGCTGGTTCTAAGATGTATTTTTTATTATGGTCGAATTTCGACTATTGTAACCGCCTCATCACTAGTAATAAAAATATCTCAGAATAACTCGCACAGCGCCATCTAGTCCAATGCTAAGCAGAGCTTGTGTTATGTACTAAACAACTGATATAAATATATACAAATATTTTTTTGTAAATACATTCTTAATATACGTAGAAAATACCCAGATCAATATCAAAAATACATACAAATACAAATGTTTGTATCATGTGAGAAATCGAACCCCCGACCATCGGAAGTATGACGGTGTGGTACACCACTTTACCATCGAGGGTAATACTCGTACTTACATGAACAATGGCACCACAGAATAGATAAGTAGCTAAAAACTTACTAGTAAATAATAGGCTATGTAGCCAATTAAATATTAAGTCCAAATTGGTACATATGTTCATAGACATAAGAACCATAACTTTTTAGCATAAAGTAAAAAAATATAAAGGTATGAACACACTATACACACTGCTTCGATAAAACAAAAACCTAATTCGCTTAGAATAACCATATCAAGAAATTCTAAGCTTGTATTAACGCCAGTGTGGTCTAATAAATCTCTCCAAGGACTTGTACTAGGCTGCATAATTTAATTAAGAAGCCGTCTCATTACGAGTAGATTTATCTAATTATGTAAATAAAAAGATTCTCTTTATTCAGGATTTCTTAAATACCTCCAATGGTAAAACATAATCATTGTAGAATAAATTATATAAGAAAGAAATTTAATCATTATATTTACCCGTGAAAAAAACTTTGTGGGGTACATTTTTTACGAAAATTGCGCGGATGGAGAAGTATGAAATTTACGCTCATTTATCCTTACTAATATTATAATATATTATAAATGCAAAAGTAACTCTGTCTGTCTGTATGTGTGTTTCGCTTTCATGCCAAAACTTCTGAACCGATTTAAGTGAAATTTGGTAGTCTAGACGCCGAGAAAGGACATAGGCTACTTTTTAATATGAAAAACAGGGTTGTAAGGGGTTTAACCGTTAAGGGTAGATGTCACTTAATTTTTTAGACTGTTAATTAAACATAATTAAAGAAAAAGGTATGTAAGAGGTTGAACTTACTAAAAGAATATCACAAAAAAATTTAATAACAAGAGCAATGATGTTATTGCTCCATATTTAGTAATTATTTTCAATAAATGTATTTCTGATGGTGTTTTTCCCAATTTAATGAAAGATAGCAAAATAACTCCACTCTTTAAGTCAGGAGAAAAAACTGTGGTAGGTAATTATAGGCCTATATCTATCTTACCAGTATTGAAAATTGCGTGGATGGAGAAGTATGAAATTTACGCTCATTTATCCTTACTAATATTATAATATATTATAAATGCAAAAGTAACTCTGTCTGTCTGTATTTGTGTGTCGCTTTCACGCCAAAACTTCTGAACCGATTTAAGTGAAATTTGGTAGTCTAGACGTCGAGAAAGGACATAGGCTATTTTTAATATGAAAAACTGGGTTGTAAGGGGTTTAACCGTTAAGGGTAGATGTCACTTAATTTTTTAGACTGTTAATTAAACATAATTAAAGAAAAAGGGATGTAAGGGGTTGAACTTACTAAAAGAACATCACAAAAAAATTTAATAACAAGAGCAATGGTGCTCTTGTTATTAAAATTTTTTGTGATGTTCTTTTAGTAAGTTCTTTTAGGATAGAAGTTTACTGGAAATAAGAAAGAAATATAAAGGAAGAAGTGAAAAAATTAGACAGCAAACTAAATTAACAGATGCAGTCAAGCAAGCCCTGTACCTCAAATGGCAATGGGCAGGTCATATCTTACGTGTTACAGATAGCAGATGGACTATTAAAGCTACAAAATGGAAAGGACCAAAGGGAAATAGGTAAGTTGGAAGCCCAATAAGACGGTGGGCTGATCATATTGTGGACTATATAGGAAAAGACTGGTTAGCTATAGGCAAAAACGAGACGAGAGAATATTGGAAAAAGATGGAGAAGGCCTTCACCCAAAGAGGGCTCCATATCCACAAATAGTAATAATTGTAATTGTAATACTAACAAGTAGATCATAAGAAAAAAAATACTAACATTTTTTTATTTGTACAAACTTCTGGAAGGATATGGAAATAAAAGGCTTCATTATTATTATTATCTGTTTTTCACAGCTTAAACTGGTGATTAGTACCGAGGACGGGAGATGCCAAGTCTCTCTTTACTTTATTTTGTTTGATGGTTTATTCTGTGGCATTTAGGAAGCGACGAACTATTGCACATGTATCTAAGATAACAGCCTTTTGTAGTGGAATGTTATTATTATTATTAAGGGGTTGAATAATAATGGACTTACTTAAACCACCTTTTTATATATATTTATATATAGATACATTAGAAAGCACAGCATAAATGGTCTACGTTGTTTTGATATGCAAATAACGTTAATCTTAGATTAATAGAATGGTCAAACTTTGTACATCGCAAAGAAAGTTTAATCGGTAGATAAAAAATTTCCTTGAAATAAATAATATCAAAAAGCCTAATTTAAATTATGGCCCTTAATTACTTAAGTAAAATTTGTTGCTAAATATTTGTTTACATTAAAAAGTTTCATTTTCAAGCATAATGTATATTTATTGTACAGTTTACATACTCGTGCGCAGTCTATATTATTTCTAGTTATTCTCAATTAAAATATATAACAGTTTACCCGCAGATTTGATAGAATTGACAGGACGTAATATAAAAAATAAATTGACCAAATGGCTGTTAGCACACTATTTTTACTATCTGGACGATTATTTCAATTATAAATATTATAAATAAAAGTAAAGTAATATTAATTGTAATAATGCTAATAATAATAATAATCTTTAATTCTGAATATCTAATTGTCATAATCTAAATATATATAACTCAAAGGTGACTGACGTAGTGATCTATCAACGCACGGCCCAAACCACTGAACGGATCGGGCTGAAATTTCGCATGCAGGTAGATGTTATGACGTAGGTATCCGCTAAGAAGGAAGGATTTTGATTAATTCTACCTAAAATAGGGGATGAAAGTTTATATGAAACTTTGTCAATTTTAAACCGATCGGGCTGAGACTTTGCATGCATAAAGCTACTATGACGTAGGCATCCCCTAAGAAAGGATTTTGATAAATTCCACCCCTAAAGGGATTAACGCGAGCGAAGCCGCGGGCAAAAGCTTGTGTATTAATATATGTAATCATTAGGTTTATTAATAAAATTTGTATGCCAACTTAAAAAGGCATATTACAGCGCAGCCTACTAATGTCACTGTGTACTTAATTGTTATGTATATCTGTCTGTAATGCGAATAAATGACTTACTTACTTAAAGGAGCTAGCCGAAATGGATGGTATTGATAAAAAAAATTATGACTTCTACATATATTCTATATCTACATATATCTACATTGTATCTTCTACCTTTGCCAAATGTGTAAATGTAATAATGGTTGTCAATAAATGTTTTTTTCTTCTTTTCTTTCTTCATATAATTATTCTTCATAACGCTTCAATAAGTCATTACCAAAATCAGTTCACGTTTGGTCACCAAACACAGTGTGTGCTCACCATTAATTAGTTTTATTATCAGTTTTAATTAGTATCTGATTTATTATCTCGACGGCCTCGGTGCGGCCTCTAGCGGTTTAGTACACAGCTTTACGTCCGATGGTCGCGGGTTCGATTCCTAGCATGGTGCAAACATTTAACATCTTGGGTATGATTTTTTGTAACTGAGTGTTTTCTATGTATATTACGTATGTATATTTAAAAATATATATATTTATATCAGCTGTCTAGTATACATAACACCAGCTCTGTTTACCGTGGGACTAGATGGCGTTGTGTTAAGTGTCCAGGGTTATTTATTCTGTTTATTATAATTATATTTATAATATCAATAAATAAAACCTATCAGAATCTTCAATAGTTTCAGTACAACCTGAACATTTATAATTATATTCTGCAACTATCCTTTGGATTTTATAAGTTGTGTTAGCAACATCGCAGATAAGATAATATTACAGAGTAATATTACAAAATCTAAAATTAATTACTATGGAATTTAAATGAATAAGTATATGTATAATCCTGCAAAAGACCTCCAACTTATAATACAATTGACTTACAAACAACAACAATAAACGTACAATTAAATAGAGACGTATTTGTTTATTTTTAAGTTTCAAAATCGTATCACTAGATGGCGCTACTTTAATTTTTTTAGATGTCGGTATTAAGATGTTTTTGCGAATTAATATAAATATCATGTTTATGATCCTGTCCTCCGATCCATCCCTCGTCCAATTCAAAGAACGAGGTTCGAACCCTTTTCGTTGCCCTCAGCCTAAAGTCGTATCCGTCAGGGTGGAGTTGATCTTCAGCCGCTCTATAAGTTCTTCCGTGAATTTGGAGTACCATGCACTCGCCTTCTTTCGTTCGTGAAGTTATAAAGGCCAGCTGCAGTCCAACAGGATTAGACTAGTTCGAATAAAATGAGGTAATATTTCGTTATTTTTTTATATTAGTACATATATAAAAACCACTGTGAAAAGATATTCAAATTCAAATTCAAAATATCTTTATTCGTGTAGGTTTATTACAAATGTCAAATCTATCATCAGTTGTGAATGATTTCGAGATGAGAAGAACTGACAAGAA